TGTCTATCTATCTATCTATCTATCTATCTATCTATCTATCTATCTATCTATCTATCTATCTATCTATCATTTATTTATTTATGAGGGTAGGGATGGAAAAAAACTGACAGTCTACATTCATAGCAGAAATTTAGGCAGGAATGGATTCCTTCTAAACAACACACAACATAGCAAGGCAAGCTAAGACACTTGGCCTAAAGAGAGTTGGCCTCAGGGGGGAGATCTAATCAAACTTTCAGATTACTTAGAAAAGGAAATCCTGCTCTTGCTATCTCAGAAAGATTTTCTTTAATGTTGTCAGAGGTACAACATGAATACTCCGCTAACAAGATGGGTAGCTGCTTTTCTTTGGATTGCAGGTAGGTTTTGTTACTGTTCTCTTGTATTAATTCCAAGTGGAGGGCTAAGGACTAAACAGCAGAGTGGAAAAATGAATTTCCCAGGTTAGCAACTTTTTGCACAGGACATGACAATGTTAGCTTTTCAGATTCAGTAGGAAACAAAATGGTCTCTTAGTTATCTCCCTGATGTTTTGCTCTAACTTGGACCTGATGGAGTAATCAGAGTATTGCATTCATTTTCCTTAGATTGGGGCATAGGGATTCCCACCATGCTAACATTAAGCACAAAATACATTAGATCTCAATCCATTCTTAGTTTTGTCTTTGTTGTTTGCTTGCAGACATTCTACAGATATTCATAAAAGAAGCAGTCATAGGTATGCTTATATGGAAGAAACCCATGTTCATTTCACAGGATATATTAAATTCATGTGCATGCAACTAACTTTTAGTAAATTCAAGTGTTAAACCTTATTTCCTCCCTGTACAAAAATAGATTGCAAACATCTACAAAGCCGAAACTAAAAAAATGGTTCAGCTGGGTTGTATAGCCTGCTGATTCCACAACAGATTGCAGTTTCTCGTCTGAAAAATGAAAAAAATGATTTTTCTTAAAAACGACAGCTAATTTTTTCTTACATATATTCTCTTCTAGGATGCTCAGATGCCAACATCATCCAACCACAGAGCATGATTCTGGAAGAAGGTCAAGATGCTAGATTGGAATGTAGACAAGACTATGGACATCGTAATATGCTTTGGTTTCGGCAGCATAAACAGCAGCAGGATTTTCAGCTCCTCTATAGTTTCTATAATGGTAACATCCTGCAGAAAAATCCATCTTTGCACCGTCTGAATGCTGACCAACCTATGCTGGATCGCTGTCTTTTGAGTATATCAGCTGTGAAGCCAGAGGATTCAGCAGTGTACTTCTGTGCAAGCAGTTAAACCACAGTACATTAAAATACCATCTTCTTCCTTCAAAAATCTTTCCCATTTGTTTTTAATCTATGAATCTTGTGTGGTTACAAAGGCACCTTGGTCTTCTCAACCAGGCTTAACTATGTAATATCAACAAAACTGAAAAATTGAACTCAAGCAATTTGAAGGCTGGATTGCCACACATGATACCAAGGGATCAGAGAGCCTATAATAAACAGGGGTCATTACTTACATAGCCAAATTGAATTTTGTTATGATGCCATTGAGGAAAAGCAAACTGAGTTCGGTGATGTACCATGAGAGCAATTGGGAATAAATTGCTCAAAAGGGTACTCCCAAGATTGGTAAGAAATGCTGAGATAGTTAATGGGAATAAAAAACAAGGTAGCTGTAAGTTAAGCAGGGTACCAGGTTTTGGAGGTAGAAATCCAGGCAATCTCTAGATGGCTGCAAAGTGAAAGGGAAGCTAACTCTTTGCCATCATCCTGTGGTCTTACTCTATATAAACATGGAGTGCTATATTGGCAAGGAAGCAAAAATCATTTCCATTTTATGTTCGTGCAGTACTATAGTTACAGAAAGTTCCCATTGTTTCTAAACAACTATCCCCTGATTGGACCGAAGCAGACTATAATAACTCCTACTGCAAGATACCACAGTGAGATAATATAGAAGAAAGGAGATCAAACCAGGATAAGAATGGTTAAAGGTCTAATTTTGGGATAAAGCCATTTATCACCAGCTTTATTTGCCACTTCTGACCAAATAAATTCACTTTTGCCATATTACTTTCCCAATAATTTTTGGAAACCTTCTAGCAGCTGCCTCACACTCCTGCTTCATATTCAGCTTCTTGTCACAGACCACAGCTAAGTCCTTTTCAGATGTCCCCTTGAACATATGGCCTACATTTTTCTTCTTCTTCAATGTAATATCTTGTATTTCTTTCTCTTAAAGGACCTCATGTTTCTCTCAGCCCATCTATTAAGTATAAGTATAATCTTTATTGTCATTGTACTTAAATGCAATGAAATTGGTTCAGATTAGAGTGCAATTTCATTCTGTTAGCCTAGTTTTGGCAGACCTCCCAGCTTTGTGATATCTACAAATCAAATCAAAGCACGCCATCAGTCCCATATCCAGGTCATTAAGTAAAATGTTGAATAATCCTGGCCTCAAGTCTGATCCCCTATTCCCCAACATAATGTAGAGACATTAGTGCTGCTTCTCTGAGTGCAATTAAGCTGCCCGATTGTGAATCTATGTTATTATAGTGCCATCCAAATCACATTTTTAGCAGTGTGATCACCTGGAACATTATGAAAGTGGAAAGTTCTCAGTAAAATCAGAGACTCAACGTGACAGTTTTAAAGTCTAATCTAGCCTCATGTAAATTCAGATGAAGGGCAAAGGAATTCTCTGGGGGACAAAGCCCATTCGATCGTAGATCCAGACAGAGATGAGTACTCACTTTACGTTGTTTCAGCCAAAGGGAGGCAAGGAAAGAAAGAAAGTGGAAGTTAAGAATGAAGTAGATCCCTAACCCCACCTTGAACCAGCTATTTTGCCCTCTTTTGAAAATGATTCATGCATCTTAACCTGTCAGCTGCTGAAACTCCACTTAAGCCCTGCCTAAGAGAAGGAGGGCATTTTGATCACTGAGAGAAAAATTGGAGTTTGGTCTCCAGTAATATTTCTTCCATATTGTCTTACAGTATAGACATCTACTTAAAAGCAAGCGGGGAAAAATATCTGGATCAGATTAGCGCTAATTGTAGGGGTGATCCCTTTCAGTCGGGTTTCAGGCCTGGTTACAGCACGGAAACTGCTTTGGTCCCGCTGATCGATGATCTCTGGCGAGCCAGGGATGAGGGTTACTCCTCTATCCTTGTGCTTCTTGACCTCTCAGCGGCCTTCGATACCATCAACCATGGTATCCTTCTGCAACGATTGCGAGAGGTGGGAGTGGGAGGCACCGTTCTATGGTGGTTCTCCTCCTACCTCTCGGACAGGTCGCAGTCGGT